ATATATTTTTAGTAAGTGTAAATACGACTGTACAGTACAGCCTCTGAAGATGATTTCGTCGATAAAGAAAATTTTCTTCACTGGCTGAATTTATCTTTTACTTTCTTCATGACTGAATGGGCATCTTTGAACATGCAGAATCTTTGATGTGGAATAAATAAAGTTATGCGAAAAGAGGAAAAGCCGAAGAGATCTGGCTTCATTTATTATTTTGAACATAAATATTCCCTTAGTCTTTAGTCACTGGGATAAACTTCTGTCTCTCTTTTTTTTTCTGTAACATTATCAAATGTTACAACAATCAATAGGAAAAAAGGAAAAGGATTTTCCTCAGCGCGGTATCTATTCATTTGAGGAAAAATGTCTTGCTATCAAGAGAGCTTATTTGATATATTATCAAAGATTGAAAGAATCAATTTGAAAGGGAAAGAATTAGAAGGCGAAAAATGAAGCAAATTATAGTCATTTTTTGTTTATTTTTGCACACAAAGTCATACAGATCATTTATAACTTGTTACCGACTAAACAAGCTTTATAATGTCATAATTTATAATGCAACCAGATGAATGATATTCTGATGCTTGAAAAGATGTGTCTTTATTGTCCCTCCTTTTTTACTCTTCTTTATTCTCTTATATTTCAACTTGATCACAATGCTTTAGACCTTTAGTAGATATATTAGCCATGGTGTTTCTGTTTAATGCAGTGAGGTTTTTTAACCTGCCAATTGTAACTTTCCCTATTTATTCTGGGCATACTAAGGGTTAGTAAACTTGGTGACGAGGGGGAATGGAATATGAACATCCCATGTGTTTGGTGAACAATTCTAACGTTGAATCACTGACACTGGAGACGCATAAGGAGAGGAAATCCTAATAGGAATGTTATTCATCAAATGTTGTTTTGTAGGGATTTGATCGAATACAGGATTTCACCATGAGCTGACAGTAGTTAGAGAACCATTGCAAAACCAACTGGGAGTACTGGTTAGCTGTTTTGTCCTAGTTTGGGACTTGTCCTATTCAGGTAGGCAGTTACCTGGGGTTCTAGGGAGGAGTCGTAAACAGTAGGGTGCAACAGGTCGGGTGTGAGGGCAAACATTTACCGAAGACATTGGCTAGGCTCGCGGTATGTCATGAATTGGCAGAAGTTAGAATTCATGGGCTGGCCAGTGGAGCGGGTCCCAGTGGCTACTATAAGGTCTGCGAGCTAGCTCGCCTTGTAACCAAAGGGTCCTGGGTTCGAAACGGCTGTAGCGGGTGTGTACTGCTAAAGAGTCCTAAACTAAGACGAAACAGCTTTCCAGTACTCCCTGCGGGTTTTCCAATGGTTCTCTAACTAATGTCAGCTCATGAAGAAATGTTATTTTTGCTGAGAGCTAGACATGCGAAAGTACAAAGACATAGGCAGGACAAATTATGTTTCTAATAGATTTCATCGCTAGTTTATTAGAAAATTTATAATGAAAACTTTATTGTAAGAAATACAAAAGAATTTATTGAAAGCAACAGTTTCTGAAAATGCAACTGTCAAGGAACTTAACCCTAAGTTTCTATTATTTGCGAAGACGTTCCGAACCGATAATTACTATGACTGCCTCTCGACTTTAACTCCGAAACACCAGTACTTATAAGAAAGAAGTTGTGTTGTTTGGCAGTTAAAATCAAGATTGGTACAAGTCTGTAAAAAACTGTTTTACTTTTATTCGTATGCTTTCATCCTCTTCCAACTTTTACACAACTGAACCATTCGTGCCTTCGAGTTACCCGCCAATGGCTACCAGTTCCAATAAACAAACTTTCAGTGTTCGCGTTCATTTACAGTAACTGTTTGTGAAACATGACAGTTTTTGGTTGACAGTGGCTAACATTTGAATCTTGAAAGCCGCATTCGACTAGGTCATCAAGGCACCCGTTTCTAAGAGGCGGTTTTGTCGACGGAGACTGAAAATTTCAGTCTATGGGAAATCTAAAATAACTTAAACAAGTAAAACTCAACAAGCAGTGAACACAGGTGAATTATACATATGCAGTCCCAATACCTTCAAGTGAAGTGACTGGTGGTAGCGCTGCATATCACAAGTTGAAAGGGGTTATTACTCATGGGTCGACAGAGCCTTGTTCCGGCGACTGGATGGGGAACAAGATGGTCTCTTAACCGGACAATCCTGGATTTGATCCCACTTTCGGTTTCATTTTTGGGATGATAATGAAAGCTATGCAAGAAAAATATTCAAATTAGAGGATTTAAACAAAGTCTAGCAACCACCGGGCAGTTTGAATTTTTTATTTCTTTTATTTTCTCCGCCTGTTTGTTGACTAGGTATTCGAAGTTTAATCAAGTTGACTGACAGAGGCCGACAACGAGATCTAGGACGAGTGTTTGTAACCTATTTAGGAATCTCTAGCTTAATGCACCATCACCCCCAATGAATAGTGATATACCTACTATAACTCTAACCCAGCAACAATCATCGATTGAAACTTTGCAACATTTTGTTACATTGAAAAATTCGCCAAGAGAAAGGGAAGTATGAAATCAGCTGAACATGCAGTATTTGCAAGTTTAGTTTTATAAAATTAGTTGTAGGATTTCATCATGAGCTGACATCAGTTAGAGAACCAAAATTATGTCAATGATAGATAGCTGGAGGCAAACCGCAGGAAGCCCTGCCTGACCTAGCTTTCGTGCTAGTCGGCATTCACAAATCAGCAAGACGCATCTGCCACCTCGAAAGAACTCATGTCCTTTGTGAGATTCGAACTCGCGTCACTCAGTGCTGCCTGTAGTCAGTAAAGTTACCATTGAGATATTCAGGTGAAGCTGTCGCGCTATGCCATGAATTAACAGAAGTTAGAATCCATGGGTTTGCCACTGGATCGCCTCCCGGTGGCCTAATGGTCTACGAGCTAGCCAGTGGGTGGGTTCGAACCCTGGTGGCGGGTCCATACTGATGAAGAGTCCCATACTAGGGCGAAACAGCTGTTTTTCTAATGGTTCTCTAACTGATGTCAGCTCATGATAAAATCCTGCAACCAGTCAAATAACCAACGTTGTTGATGAGTATCCCCTTCATATCTAACATGATGGAATCCATTAGCCACGAATTCTCACAAGAAGTTCAGGTTTCTGCATCCTGAGGAGACTTACTAATAGGCACCTGATCTATATTCAGATTTCAAGTTTTTAGGAATTTCGATTTCTCTAAGATTAATCAGGGGACAGGTCATCGGCCAGTGCTTCTTAACAGTCCCCGATATTCAGTACTTTTCTGTACACTGAATTAAATCAGTGACGAAATGTGCACAGAATAACGAAAAATTTTATTAGTCTCACATAAAGACTTACACAGATTTTTACCACTGTCACATCCGACTAATTCTAAAGTTATGTATTAGTCTAGCAACATTTTCTCATCATCTGCATTCTTCACGAAACATAAGGATCTTTAAGCTTTGAAAATTGTAGAATAATCTACAACGGGAAACTTACGGAATACTTCGAAGTGAAAACGGAAGTAAGAAAAGCTGGCTACTTATTATCGCCAATGATTTTCCAGATTGCGGTAGGTTGGATAATGCAACAGACAGCGGGCAATGAGCAAAAAGGCATAAAATTGACCCACTTAAAAAACTTGGAGGATCTGGACCTCGCCGACGATGATATATGTCTGATTTCACACATACTGGAAGATATGCAAGTAGAAAGCGACAAGTTGTCAGAAGAAGCATCCACAGAAGATAAACCTTCAGGTTAACATAGAGAAAACAGTGGTAAGTGATGAAGATTCCTGGCCAACACCACCACCACCACCAACACCAACAACAACAACAGACAACAATCAGCCAGCATAAATGGGAGGAACCTGAAAGAAACAACCTCCTTTACCTACCTACCTACCTACCTACCTACCTACCTACCTACCAGGGAAGCATCGTTTCAACTACAGGCGGACAGAACTGACGAGGATATCAAAGCAGCAAGGGTTGGAAAAGCAAGACAAGCCTTCATTACTCTCAAGTCTGTGTGGAGGTCAACAGCACTACTCAGCATGAGAATGAAAATGAGATCCGGATTTTCAACTCCAGTGTGAAGTCAGTCAGTGCTACTCACCGTACGGATCAAAGACTTGGCACGTCATAAACAGCACCTCAAACAAACTACACACTTGTATCAACAGCTGTCTTTGCCCACTACTACTCAACGTCAGATGGCCGGTCAGACAAGATCAGTAACAAGGATCTCTGGGAATGAGCGAACCAACTCAGCAGGAACGGATTGTGCGACAGATAAGCAGGAAGAAATGGAGGTGGATTGGCTGGGCATACTCTGAGGAGACCATCAAGTGGCATCACTAGACAAGCAATCGCTCGAATGGAACCCGAAATGGAAGCGGTGAGTCGGTCGTCAGTTCGAGGGTGATATAAAGGAGGAGGTCATGTGAAGAGGAGATGAAAGCATGTTGGCAGACTTGGAGCCAGATGAAAACTTTAGCAGAGAACCGAATGCAATGGAAACGTTTGGCTGAAGCCCTATGTTCCGTTAGGAGTTAAAAGAAATGATGATAAGAATAATCTTTGAAGATTCAGTAGCCGTGATACTATTTTTTTATTGAATGGGGTTACCAGTCTCACACACACCGACCTTCCCTCTTTTTTTTTGCCTTCCGTTGGTTAGTAAACTCGGTGGTGTTTAAGAGTAGGTCAGTCTGGCATGGAACTCTGACCAATGTAAAATAACGGCTAGCAAGTATTCTACCAATCAACCCTAATAATAATAATTATTATTATTTCGATAAATAATTCAATGAGTTTTCTTTTTAATATTTCACTTTACAATTTACAAAAATTAATCCCTATCACTTGTCATCATTATCCTTCATTCCTTGTAAAAAGAGACAGAAAAACAAGCGAGAGAATGCAAATACTACAAAACCTGTAGTCAATTTTGCAGAACTAAAATTTAAAAATCAAAACAAACTGAGATTGAAAGTTGAAAATAAAATCTATTATTGATGAGTACAATGGGTGAATACACATCAGTCCATTTCAATAAGTGAATTACTACATTAACATAGATGAATTATTTATTCACAATGGAAAATAAAAAGTTGACAAATGGATGCATAAATGAATATTTCTCAAAGCTTTTAACAGTAGTATCAGCAGAATTAGTAGAACTTATACATATATTTATGACTTTATACACTGACGAAACAAAAATTTGTTATGATTAGATAAGGTAACATTAAGTGAAGAGTCTCTTATATCATGAAAGATACTCATTTGAAACAGGTGAAATATAACTAGATCACAAATATCTTGTAAGTGACAATTGGATAAATAAATAAATAAGTAAAAATGAAAAATGATTATGAAAGACTAAACAAATAGTAATGAAAATCTACTAAAAAATGAATAATTCTATTGGATACGAATAATAGTTTTTTTACAAATGTTTTTATACTACTGAAATGCAGGACTAAGTAGTTTACTAAAACAGTCAAAATATTTAGAAGAGTAAATGCACATTAAATAAAAGAAATAAACAACGACACACTAGACTTTACTTTTAAGTTTTCTTCGCTAATAAAGATTGACTTTTAGGCGATAAAGGTGGGATTGGTATGTTATTCTCTTGTAGCAATTGTTCCAATTGTTCAATACGTTTTAGTGAGACAGTTTGTGCTGCTTTTAAACATTTTACTGTTCTTTCATGACTAGCCGTCACAGAGACAACAATAGCTTTGGGAGAGAAAAAGAAAACAGTAAATAGATATATGAAAATGAAAGACATTATTAAACTAGTTTTGCATTAAAGTTTAATTGCTGGATAGTGTGACTAAGAGTGGAATACACCAGGATGCTTATTTTGTCTTATTTCGAGCTCGTCATTTGGGTGTACGTACCTGTATTCCCCAGTGAGTAATGGTGTGTTCCTCAACGAGGACTTAACCCAGTTCTCATAGTTTCTAAGGTCAGAGCGTTATCCACTAGACCACTTGGGGCACAAAAACCACCTCTTGTTCAACTGGTCATGTTAATTATTTAATTCAGTTTTATTGAATGGAGGATTTCATCATGAGCTGACATCACTTAGATAACCACTGGAAAATCTGGGGGTACTGGACAGTGGTTTAGTCCTAGTTTATGGCTCTTCATCAGTACACACCCACAAAGGCTCAAACCCAGGATCCTCTGGTTACATGGTGAGCTAGCTTGTAGACCATTCAGCAACCGCTGGGACCCAATCCAATGGTCGGATGAAGATGAGGCAGCAACTCGTCGAAGAAGACATTGCGAAGTAGTCGCGCTATGTCATGAATTGGCAGAAGTTAGAATTCATCAGCTGGCCGTCGAATCGGTAACCCAGTGGCCTACTGGTCTACGAGCTCGCTAGCTTTGTAACCGACAGGTCCTGGGTTCGAGCAGTGGTGGTGGATGCGTACCGCTGAACAGTCCCAAACTACTGGGACGAAACATTTGTCTAGTACTCCCAGTCGGTTTTCCAATGGTTCTCTAACCGATGATGTCAGCTCATGATGAAATTCTCCGTTCAATCAAATCAAAATATCTCTACAAAGCCATACTTGAAAATTCAATTTTACATTATCCCGTAGATTGATTGGACTGACGTGGTCAGTCGCAGGTTGACATGTTGGCTCCTTGTTCAGATGCTTCAGTGGTGTCTAGTCATTGAATTTGAAGTTAACTGAGACAGAGCACTTGGGTCAAATCAGTCGACGAGAAAGTCGGAAATTGAATGAGATAGTTTTATATTGCCCACAGGTTTTTTTCACGTGCTTAAATCAATTAGAGCAGTACTGAAAAACTAGAGAACACTAGGTAGCTGATCTTACTAGTTTGGGACTCTTCAGCAGTATGTGCCCAGATCATATATATTGTGATCTGAAGATTTTCGGTTTCCACGAATTAAATTGCAACTCGCGAAATTCATTCGATTTATTTCCAGTTTACCCAAGTAGCTACCCAGAACTCCAGTGGTTTGAACCGGTCCACCTATTTGCTCTAAGTCAAACAGGGGACACTATAATGTCGAGTTCCACCCCAAAAGAGCTCAACGGCCATTCAGCGTTTAGATCACTTCAACCTGGCTGACTAGTAATCACTGCTGGTTGATAAGAGTAGTGTCCACCTACCTAATCATGTCAGTCAGTGAGCGGTATAGTGCATCATGCATTAATCGTTCATATCCACAACGATATTTATGCTATTCAATAGATCGAATTTTTTATACTACTTACTTCCGGTTTGTAATCTTCTCTTGTGTATTTAATTCTAGATGATAAACCCCACTGAGTAGGATATTTTCTAGGACATAATTACGAGTAATTAAATTACAAAAAGAAAAATACCCATGTGATGTAGATTAAAACGATCCATATCATCAAAGAATATTTTTTTCTCAACTCTAATTCAAACCTATTTATTACTATTATTGTTTCTTTAATTCCTGGAGGAACATAAAGCTTCAGCCACACCTCTCCATTGCGTTCGGCTGTCTGCCAACATGCTTTCATCTTCTTTACACATCACCCCTCCTTCATGTCACTTGGTAGTTTGTTTTCTCAGAGTATGGCCAATCCACCTCGATTTATTCCTGCTTATTTGTTGTACCATCGGTTCCTGCTATGTTGGTTCGCTCATTCCCAGAGATCCTTGTTACTGATCTTTTCTGACCGACCATCTGACGCTGAGTAGTATTGGGCAAAGACAGCTGTTGATGAAGGTGTGTAGTTTGTTTGAGGTGCTCTTCATGACATGCCAAGTCTTTGATCCGTGCGGTGAGTAGCACTGACTGACTTCACATTGGAGTTGAAAATCCGGATCTCATTTTCATTCTCATGCTGAGTAGTGCTGTTGACCTCCACACAGACTTGAGAGTAATGAAGGCTTGTCTTGCTTTTCCAACCCTTGCTGCTTTGATATCCTCGTCAGTTCTGTCCGCCTGTAGTTGAAACGATGCTTCCCATGTAGGTAGGTAGGTCGGTAGGTAAAGGAGGTTGCTTCTTTCAGGTTCCTCCCATTTATGCTGGCTGATTGTTGTCTGTTGTTGGGCAGGAATCTTCATCACTTACCACTGTTCTCTCTTTTTTCACCTGAAGGCCTATCTTCTGTGGTTGCTTCTTCTGACAACTTGTTGCTTTCCTTTTTGCATATCTTCCAGTTTGTGGGGAATCAAACACATATATCATCGTCGGCGAGGTCCAGATCCTACAAGTTATTTGTATGGGTCCATATAATGTCTGTTTCCTTGCTGCTCACTGTCAATTCAAACCTATACAGTCAGTTATATACTGGTTATGGAAACGCTTATATAAAGGTCAATCATTAATATGAGTTGGTCATCAGAATATCAATATCACGGAAAAGTGATGAATGAATTACGAAACCTTAGCCAAGTAGTCTTATGTTTAGTAACGAGTATCATTCAGGAATGGTCACCATTAAAAGGGTAAGCAGTTGTAAACAGGAGTAGGCTACTAACATGTAGCTACTGAATACAATTGAGTAAAGATTATAGTTAGTAACGCAATAGTTTTTTATGTTTTTCTCTTGTAGACTTCGACGATAAATATTTTCTTAATATTAGTTTTGTAGGGATTTTGTGTTTGTTTGCATAGAGGATCTCCTCATTAACTGACATCAGTTAGAGAACCTTTGAAAACCAACTGGGAGTACTGGACAGTGGTTTCCTCCGTCCTAGTTTAAGACTCTTCAGCAGTACACACCAACCGGGGTTCGAACCCAGGATCCTCTGGTTACATGGTGAGCTAGCTCGTAGACCATTCTGCATTCACTGAGACTTGATTTGATTTGATTTTTTGATTTTTGATTTACAGCTTGATTCCACACTGTATTTTTGGTACAGGTATGGAATTTTCAGCATGGATATCGGTAGCCCAAATTTTGCAGGCCAACCATAGATATCAGGTGTGCGCCGGTTCTTGAATTCTAACTTCTGTTAAACAGTTGCGCTATGTCGTGAATCGGCAGAAGTTAGAATTCATGGGATAGCCATTGGATCGGGTCCCAGTGTCTGCTGAATGGTTTACCAGCTAGCACGCCTTGTAACCAAAAGTCCTGGATTCGAACCCGCTGTGGTGGGCGCGTACTGATGAAGACTCCCAAACTAGGACTGAAGAAACAGCTGTCCAGTACTCCCTGCAGGTTTTCCAATGGTTCTCTAACCGATGATGTCAGCTCATGATGTAATCCTCCATGAAATATTTTCTTGTTCTCAGCTGAGAGAATATGTGCGTCGGTGGCACAGTGGTTAGGACTCTCGCCGACCAGGCACATGGTCCGGGGTTCGAGCCCTCGCCGACGCACACCTGATATCTATGGTTGGCCTGCGAATTTTGGGCTACCGATATCCACGCTGAAAATTCCACACTTGTACCAAAAAATACGGTGTGGAATCAAGCTGTAACCATAAAAAAAATAAAAATAAAAAAATTACTGTGTCAGTGTGAAGACAGAAGTTGTTGCACTAGTGAAACGTGAACACCTTATACTCTATCCAATAATTAATATAATAGTGATTGCTATTGAAGGGAAAATTTTAATTTACGTTTGTAGGCATTTCAGTTGATTTCAGGTCATATTTCATTAGGACAATGAAGAAAATAATAATAAGCAGAAAATCACAATTAATATTCAAGTAGATCAAGAGAAGTTGGCACTAAAGAATCCTTAGATAACTAACGATGCTCACTGTGTGTGTGTGTGTGTGTCAGGCTAGTGATTCTTAAATTGTTTTCATTAAATAAGGCAGTAATATGAAACGGACAATAGAAGAGACTATGAAACGTAATCATTTCTTTTTTATTTTGCTTTAAGCAAAAGGTCATGTGATAAAAGAACAAGAAAAGAAATTTGATAATAAAATTGACATGACAACGGAATAAGAATATATCTGAATCCCGTAGATTTGTTTGTATTTAGCCAGCTTTCAGACCTCATCAAGATTTTCTATTCTTCCCTAAAGGAAGGATATGAACCGGAAAGACACCGGCTTTTTGGATTATTATAACACTAAGATCTAACTGGTCCAGATATCCAGAAAGGACTCTGACAGTAAAGCAACCAAAGATCCACCTCTTGCCCAACAAATATACAAAGGGGAATGGAGATGAATTCGATATACGCTGTGGAGAGTGTTAACTGAAAGACCAAGTACCAGATAAACCTTTGAGTGGAACGCAAATTACAAACGATGAATTCGGCATCGGGGTGACAGTGATGTGAAGGAATATCGTCTGGGGAGTAAAATGAAAGTCTGTGGGAATTGTGAAGTCCAGGGGAAGAGGAATACAGAGAACAGTGACTGAAATAGAGGCACGCTGCTGCAGCCCTCGCCTACAATGATTGTCAGGCCAAATACATAGGTCAAGCTAGTAGAACAGGGGTAGTCAGACTAGCCGAATATAAAAACCTAGCAAAATCTAGATTGGTTGACCCAATTAAGATAAGAAATCTAGAGAATAGTTCCCTTATATCACTCACTACATGCAATTACACACAACCATACAATAGAATGATGGGATAAGATGACAGTTTTAAAATCTAATGTAACAGGGCGAATGGAAGGAGAGATTGATAACAGAAGCTTTGTTTATCGAATCAACTGCAAACCCGTGTGTAGTGGGAATGATTCAACACCTGTCCACGCCGACATCTGTAAAATTCTACTACCACGCCTACGACGACAAATACGAGAG